CTATTTTAAGTTTCTCAACGGATTTAGAAAGCAGAAGCTGAGGCCTTTACAATACTATATGATGTTTAAGTAATCTGGAGAAATATGTGTGCATTTCATTGGCAAGCATATTTTTTTTTTTAGTATTGCACCGTTTTCCAAATTTGGAGATTTTTTTTCGAAGTATTTTATATGGGAACCGTACTATTTAATAATTGATTAGAAAACCATGTCTATTCATGAGTAAAACGCAACTTTGTTTTTATCCGTTAGCAATTGACGACCTTATTGATATTTTTCTTAATACAAAATTGTTCAAGTCTGATTTTCTGAAAGATGCTTTATATGGGGGATAGAGTTAAATATGAACCGATGCTCATACAATTTGGTGGCCGGATTTAAGTTAGTATTGAAGTTATTTTTTTCATCGTGATATTAATATAATTAAGAGAATTATGGAGGCTTTGTATGGGGATTAGTGTCAAATAAGGTCCGATCAACTCAAAACTAGATATAAATGCGTTTGCTGTAATCCTTAGTGATACTGCTGATTCTTTAAACTATAACGTTTGTATAAATTAAATTAATAACTTTTGTATAAAAATAAATCCTTCCACAAAATTTTACGAGGATCGGCCTATCCCCCACATTAAGCATCTTTCAGAATATCAGTTTTTAATCAATTTTGCATTAAAATAAAGATCAATAACGTCGTCAATTTCTAATGGATAAAAATGATGTTGCGTTTTACTCATGGCCTCCGGTAGGATAGTGGTTAGTGTTCTAGTCTGGTAGACCGGAGGTGGTGGGTTTGAATCCCACCTGAGGCACTGGTTAAGGAGCTCACAACAAGCCCGATAGAGGCCTAGGTGTATTTCTTCGGATTTGATGTATATACATCCTCCTTTCAAACTAACTAACTAAGAGTCCATTTATAGCAATTCTGCATACTCCGTTTTTTCAGCTCTTATGTCCCTATAAAAGGACTTCAAAGCTCCAAGGGCTTACAATTTTAAACAAATATTTGTATGTGTTGTAATATGCTAATATTGGTATGAAAGCTGGGAATATGTATATTCTAGCTATATTATTTATTTGACTCACTTAAACAAAAAATCTAAAAAGAAATTAAAATTAAACAAGTAGGAAAGTATAGTCGGGCATGGCCGACATAACACCCTACACCATGAGTATATTTTAAAAATTTTTATTTTTCACAAAGAAACTTTTATGTTGAATTTTACCTTAATTCCAAAGTATTTAAGCAATTTATTGATAAAAACCAAATTTTCTAAATGAGGCTTTATATAGGAGTATAGGTCAAACATGGGCCGATCCTCATTAAATTTGGGAAAAGGATATATTTTTAAATAATACTTAATTATGTTGAGTTTCATTGCGATACAAATGGTTACAAGTCAATTTTAGACGTTTAAGACATTTTTTGAAGGAGGGTTTGTATGGGGGCTAGGGTCAAATAAGGGGCGATCATTACGAAAATCTGCAGTGTCATTTATACTTATATAAAACTTATTTGTGCCCATTTTTAGAGAGATATTAGTATATTTGACGTAATTATGGCATAAAAAGCCCAAATCGGGAGGTACGGTTGTATGGGGGCTAGGTGGACCGATTTCAACCATTTTCAATAGGCTTCGTCCTTGTGCCAAAAAACATGCTTGGTCCAAATTTCATCAAATTATCTCGAAAATTGCGGCCTGTACCTTGCGCACAAGGTTTACATGGATATCCAGCCAGCCAGCCAGCCAGCCGGACGGACATGTCTTAATCGACTCAAAATGTGATTCTGAGTCGATCGGTATAATTAAAGGTGGGTATAGGACCAATATTTTTGTGTGTTACAAACATCAGCACAAACGTATAATACCCTCCCCACTACAGTGGTGTCAGGTATAAAAAGGTATCATTTTCAAAATCAAAATTTAAACATTTATTTTTTGTGAAAAAATTTCTTTCACCTTCCATTTCTTTTTAAATCTTAATGAATTAATATAAATAATATTATTATGTAACAGAGATTCTCAGCTTTATTTGATATTAATAATTATACCAAATTTTTTATATAAATTTTGAATTCCATCTTTTGAAATCGTATGTCCTTTAAACTTTAAGGTCCTTTTACAGGGGCGTAAGAGCTAATTATGAGAAACTGAGTACACAGAATTAATACAAATGGTCCACAGTTTCCTGTACACATAGACTTTTTCATGTGTGAAATTAATAAATAGTGCGTTTCCTATATAAAATACTTTGTAAAAACATCTCCAACCTTGGAAACCGGTGAAAAACTAAAATCAAAAAAATGTTTGCCGATGAAATGCACACATATGTATCTCTCCAGGTTACTTAAACATCACATATGTCATTATAAAGGCCTCAGGCTTTCCGAATCCGTTGAGAAACGTAAAATCGTTTGAGATTTAACAAAGTTATTGACATAGAATAGCTTAAAGGTACGAAAAATCGGGTTTTTATCCGCATCTTAAGTTTGACAAATTTCAAAAACAGATTCTTGTTCTACTCGGATCTACCTTTCAGAAAAATAGTATCACTTCCCAGGTATTTATTTCTGTCGCATATAGTTATCAAAAGTCCATCACCCCTTTACATAAAACAGTTTGTCTCACTAAATACATATTTCTAACATTTTAGTATTGTGATAGAATTCGACAAAAATTATTTGTTTTAAAACAGTACTCTTTTAAATGCTATAGACCTCGGTCCAAACCTCCCTCAAGGCCCAATTATTACATCAATTCTGCATGCATAACAAAGACCAAACAATTAAAAGAAATGATTTTTTTAATATATGGCTTGGGGAATTGTGAATAACTTTGTTATTTAACCTTTGATATACATAAATGTTTTATACCTCGTTGGAAATGCATAATTTTTGAAGAAATACAAAAACCATTGTTTTACACTTTTCAATCGATTTCCGGCACGGTTCCCGTTATCCGATTGAACTAAAATTTAACACCAGTTAGTTTTAGACGCTAATGAACAAAATAAGACACATCCAAACAAAATCGATATTTTTTAGACACCTCTAATGTATGTTTTTCATTAATGTAAATAAAATGTATGCATAATTTTGCACACCACTAGACGCGGCTTCAAAATGAAACCACATATTTTATATTTTGTTTAAGAAAAAAACTTAAGAAATATAACTAAAAAGGGAATTTTTATCGTGTCCCCCATAGGATATTTTCTAGAAAACTGCCCAGCTCACGAACGGACAACACTAAACCCAAAATATTTTGGTTAACATCATATTGAGTCGGTCTAATGTACATATCCCCAGTTGTCATTTGTTATCAACAGGGCAACCAAAAATATACAATATCATATTTTTTGCTGCTCGTCGTGTGGAGGCGTGAGTTAGTTATTTATCCATTTCAGAAAATTTAATGAATTTTGGCATCATCGGCTCAGAATCACTTTTCCCCGAATAGGGCCCTCGAGCTCATAATTATGTTAAATGTTTCAGGAACTTATACGAAACTGCCAATTTTCGTAATGATCGGCACCTCAGAAAAGGACATGAATGTCAATAATTCACTTATAAACACTAATATCACGAGAAGTTTTGCATTAATAACATTAATGTAAATCCCTCCACCAACATTTGTAAGGATAAGCCGATATTTACCTTTGCCACTGTATAACCCTTCTTTAAAAAAAGAAAATTACTTTTTTTGTCAAGAAATTGTTTAAATATTTCGGACATAAGGCCCCCTACTCACTGGTCGGCCATGCACGACTATATATTCTTACTTGTTTGTTTTTCAAATATAAAAAAAAATAAATCAATTTAATGTAAAGCAAAAAAATTAAGCCTATATATCATTTCCTAGAAAATTACGCAGGCCAACAAAATTTTAAAAAAGTCGAAACCCAGAGACCTAAGTTTACATTTCTGAATTATTGACCATCGCTTAATCCGAATTCAATTCTCCATGTTTTTGGCCATATTTAAGACCTTATAAAATGCGAGAAGACACAAATTTAGACAAATACGACAAAAGGCAATATTGAGTTTTTGTAATTGTATGGTTGTTCCAAGCAAATATAATTAAATTAATAAGAGCTTTAAATAATGTATTACGCTACGTTTTTATTTCCATGATATGGAATGTACTAAATGATGGCGTTCTTCAAAAAAGGATATGAATCCAAAATGAAAACACAATTAAGTAGCCTAAATTATATCTCGAGATTGAAGGCAAGTACACTTACCACACTTACTAACATATACATACTACATATATAGACGGAAGTTTAAAAAACTGTTTGGTATAAATATGGGTTATATTATTCCCGATATTGTCTTACAAAAATCTTTATACGAATTGTAATTGATTGTTTTGGTATAAATATGGGTTATATTATTCCCGATATTGTCTTACTTTCATCTTTATATGAATTTTAATTTTAGAAACTTAGGAACAAATTGTGTATTAGCTAAACCCAGTGAGCTTTGCTACCCGAATCAATATAAATAAAATATCGCCTTTACGATATTTTAAGTTTCTAGCTGTATCAGTTTGCCAGATTTAAGAATTTTTGTATTTAATTCATATGGGAGGTCCAACGCCCACTGTAGCTGCCCATTTTGTCAAAGAAGTCCATACAAAATTTGAGACTCTTTGAGTTTCTGAGATATGTGCCTATAGTTCCTTCCAGACATACAAGAAGACACTGTGACATTTTCAGAAAAATCGGTTCAGCAGTTTAGCAGTCTATTAAGTCCTAAGTCTATAAACAAAAAAAAAAAAAAAAAAAACATACAAACATTTTCATTTTTATATATAAAGATAATAGAATATTAATATTTGACTATTAACTTTCCTAATCCCTCCTAAATATCTTAGTTACAAATATAAATTTACTAAAATTATTAAAAAACACATTAAGTTTTTGTTTCGAATATCTAGTAAGCAAAATATCTGTTGTATCCATTGATTAGAGGACGATATAGTTAAAAAACATCTTACATTTAATTCATCACCACAAAATGTGGCCTCATCTATTGAGAACTGTAAATCTTCGGCCTTTTTTCGTTCCTCACTCAACTGACGCTCCAAAAGAGCGATATAAGTTTTAAGCTAAAAAAATAGTGGCGAAAATAAAAGAAGTACAACAATTAATAATTTTATTTTAGTTATTGAAATAAAAATGCATTTGTGGATGTTTTCGTAAATTAATTTTTAAATGTATTTTTCATTTTACAATTAAATATAAACAATTATATTAAAAGTCGTAAAGTAAATATTTATATAAAAATATAATAAGAATAGTTAATTTTAAAATATATAACAGAAGCAATAAAATTCGCTTATATCGCTTATAAATAATCAAGTTGTTTATAATTATTTATAAAATTATAGTTGAAGTAATTTAGCGTAGTTGGAATAAAAAAAATATAGTTTCATAAATCTGCTCTCAGCGCAGTAAAAAATCGATTTTTTAATTTTATAATTTTTTTCTGCAAAAAAGAAAATTAAAAAAATCAAAAGATAATTTCGTTTGAAACCAATTTAGTGTATTGAGAAATTTGGTTTATATTTTGGTTGTTTTGGTTTTCGACGGCCATCATTCAACGCCATCTGTGAGAACTTTTGTTTGGGATCGGTGAAAGGGCGTTGAAGGAAAAATCAAAAAAAAAAACTATTTGAAAGATTATCCGTTAACGGTTTCATACTCGATTATTTGAATATTATTTTGAGCACTACGAGGTACAGTACTGGGTCTCCTTCAATTTTCATGTCTACTCTTACAACAATAACAACAATGTTAAAAGAAATTTAAAGCCAGTTTTTCCGTTTAAAGTCTTCGTGCGAGAATACAAAAAATTACATTGTCTGCGGCGACTACTTAATGCGTAGAGGACTGAGTACACTATGGAGAATGCAATGTTTCTCATGGTTTCCACTCCAGCCACGGAATTCCCGGCGCAGATCAGCTAAACGAAAACTACGACGTGCAATAAGTCTGGCCCAGCGATCAGCATCACTAAGTACTTTCTATGGAAACGTGAACAAGAAAATAAATATAAATTACCATGAAAACAACCAATTACGAAAATAAAATACGATAAATTAAATACAGCTGATAGATTCACTTTAGGATAGACAGATAATAAAAGAAAATTTAGTTTTGCGTTTAATAATACTCTATCTTCACTTTTTCTTCACCTAAATTCTCTTTTAGAGCAGATTTTAACGTACACATGTAGATTACGTCAAAAACCAAGTACATAAATAAACAATTGTTAAACTTTTAATTGAATTTAATATCTATTGTTATTAACTAATTTATTAACAATGTTCACACTGGAGAAGTTTGCTTTCAAACAACTCTGCTCATGTTTCACAGTTTAATGCACACGATTTTTCACTTCAATGTTGATTTTGAAAACTTTAAATTTTTAAGAAAAAAAAAAAAATGTTAAAAAATAAAAACGCACATACATAATTAAACACAAATATATAAATAATAAAAGCAGCCTAACTAACAATTGCAATATTTCTCTATAAATAATAATAAACAATTTTAACATAAAATTAAATTTATTTGTTGTAAATAATTTTTTCGTTTTTTTTTTTCTTTCATACAACTAAAATTATAAATGTAAACATGTCAAACACAAAAAAACTGTTTTAAAAATAATTGATTTAAACAAACAATAAACAAGTAGAAAAATAATAACAACAAAGTAACATTTAACCAAAATACAAAAAAAAAAACAAACTTAAAAAAATACGTTCACATTAAGCAAATATTTTATGAAAAAAAGACTAATCTCAATTAAATATTTTGGCAAATATTAAATTGATTTTTATGCAAATAAATTTTTTTTTAAATATATTTAAAAGGCATCAATATGTTGAGTTTTTAGTGTTTTTTATCAAATATTTTCTAATGTGAACGTACCTTAAACAAATTTATATATAAATAAGTAAAAATATTCAATTGGAAAATATATATATATATATATATATATATATATATATATATATATATATATATATATATATATATATATATATGTTTGTATGTATGTATTTTAATTGTGCCTTTTGGAGATTTGGATACACATACATTTGTATATTTCTATGTATGACTTTAATCATAGAAATCTGAATGATTTTTTTTAGTTTAATGTCAATTTACATAGAATTAATAGCAGTTATGTATTTAATTTTATTAATTGTTAAACAATCAACCAAATAGAAAAAATGTGATATAATTTGTTAATGGAAATAAACATGAAAATTAAGTGAAACAAACTTGAACCCTGTATATGGAATCATGAAAATAATGAGACATCATAATTAGGATTAATTAATAATGAATTGAAAAAAAAATTAATTATATAAACTGAGTTTCAAATAATGAAATTTCTGTTTTAGGTAAAACTATTATTCTTGGAACGATCAAATATTCAATTTTTTAAATTCAAAGGAGTGTGAATCTGACTCCCATCTGCTACTAACATAATACATGTTAATAATTCGTATTATTCATCATACGTGATCGAAATTTAAAAAAGGAAAATTACGATCAATTTTACTCGATATGAGGTAATTCGGCCTTAGTTTTCAAAACAAGATCTTTTTTAAAAATTAAAGAAAATATGCCAATAATAAAGAATATATTGAAGTAATCCTGAAATAAGTTAACGATTTGAAGACGCAGTGTTAAAGTAAACAATATATGGAGAGACTTTATTCATTACTTTCTATCTTATAACTCTTTTCAAATTCGAATAATTTTGAAAATTTTTTGTTAGAAAAATAAGTCTTATTAGATATTTGGATAATCTGGAAAAGAATCTGTTAAAATCTGTGAAATCGAGTTCTTTTCGAGATATCAGCCATTTTGATTTAATCATAAACAGGTTATTTTGGAACTCAACTCTATATTCTGAACCTTTATAGACTATGGTCCAAGAAACATATTGTAGATCAAAAAATTCTTATTCTTAGGTTATGTAAATAAGGGTTATGCACCATAAAGAGGTGCAACTCTACTCGGAGACTATAACATCTATTATAGAGTGTGAAGATCCAAAGATAGAGAAAAAAACCTAGAAGTTTTACCGAATCAATTCACTCAAAAAATAGTTGTGAAAGAATGAACTAACGAAATAAACAGGTTTTTTGGTCTCTTGAAAACTTGTGTTGTGTACAGTCGAGTTTTGATTATAGTCCCTCGATATATCTTAATCGTTTAACTAAAACTAGACATTTAACTAATCTAAAAGAACTGCGTTGCGTTTTTGGGATCTTAGATAATGATTATAATATTAGATTAAAACCTTCTACTGGAATTATTAAGGCATCGTAATTTATACTTGTTTTACAAAAGTTCAAAATTATTATTGAAAACTAAAAATGGGCCGAATAAAATTTAGTCTAATGGGATCTGGAATAAGGAAATTTTGTAAATTATATTTCAAAACTTAAGTATGAAATACATTAATACTGTTAAACTAGTATAAAATTAATAACGAAAGCGACAAAAAAATACATCCAGTGAAAACTGTTTCTTTACGATAAGTGAATTCAGTTGTGGCAACCAATATTTTTGGTTTAATCTTTAATTTACTTTACTTTAATCAAATATTAACTTCAATTCATTAGTCGTAAATGAAAAATTCTATCAAATTATTATGTAGGCTGTTAATATGGTTCCTGCAACAAAAAACTGTTATCATTGTGTATGAGCATGCAATTAGTAGGGGTTGTCATAGAATTGGATTTGAAAGCTTTAAAAAACATGATCAGATTTAATATAATATAATATTATCAGTTTTGTGTCCAATCTAGAAGACGATTCATAATCGAGCAAAAAACCGAAAATATAAGATTTTATGAAACCAATGTATTTTTTGGTCGTTTTTAAAACCAATTCCGACAATGATTGAATTCTATGACAACCCTCAGTTTTATGGAAAATATTTGTTAAATAACATTCTTTTATAATAAATAATTAACAATTGAAATAATATGAAAAATCGTGTACAAAAAAATTAACAAAAATGTCACAAGAGAAGAATAAAGAAAAGTGAAGGCAAAGAAAGATAGAATAAGAAATTATCCAAGATTAAACAAATAAAATTAAAATACTTTATATTAATTAATTACTCGCTAAGAAGTAAAACTGAAACACATAGTGCCAAAAAAAGAAAACAAAAAAATTGTTAAATATACCATAAAATAAAATTCAACAATAAACAAATAATTAAGAATTAATTGTGACAAATTAAAACAAACTAAAAAATAACAAATTTTGGTTCGTATATAATGAATGAGAATATGAACAGAAGTTCTGTATAAAAATTATCAAAAAATCATATTCAAGAACTATGTAGCTGTAGAATCATTGTACAATTGAAATGAATTAAAACCCATTGGGAAAATATAATTTCTGATTATCGCAAAACCAAACTTTCTTTTTTGTTCCATTCGCTGTTGGTGTGGGCGAACGTGATTTTGAACGTTCGACCAACGTTGATCGTTTCGAAATCGGTTGTTGTAACGATGTAGAGAGCAAATTAAATGGCCGCCTTCGATCGGCTTGTAAGAGCAATGTTGTTGCTGTATCTTGTAACGGTGTATGGGATAGTGGTTGTGGTGGTGGATATGTTATATCGCTGTATATATTTACCTCATTGATATTTTTCTGAAACTGTAAAGCTGTATTCTGCGAATCCTCACGATCCAAATCACGTTCGATCATAAGTTGTTCAATGTGTTGTTGTTTCTCGCGCAATAAATCCTGTTGGAAAAATTATATAAAGTAAAGGGTATTTTAAATAAAATAAAATTATATCTCTTATCGTTTTATAAAATATTTTATTTCTTTTCTTAAATATAAGATAAAAAACCCCAATATGAAAAGAACAAAATAGGGAGTAAATAAAACAAACATGTATAATTATATTACAAACCTTTTCCAGTCATCATAATGTTTTGGGTAAAAAAAATTATTTATAATTGGGAATACATATTTCACAATTGTTAACAGTTGTATTTGTATCTATTTTTATTTAGTCCCTACTATATTTTTTGCAAACCTTCATTTGCAGAATATTATCAACTTATTAAAGGGATAACTTGTAAAACCGTAATATTAAGTTATAAATGACTATTTTTGGTTTATTAAACAGTTTTCCATACAATATTCCTGTAATAAAAAACCTTTAATAACTTTATTAATCTTTGCTTTCTGAGTTTGTGTGGGGAAAGAAAACTTGATGTGTGTGAATTAGAACTAAGAGGCGTTCTTAGGCTGTCTACAGTTGCAGATGAAAAGTCGTCATTTTGTCGTCTGTAACACATCGAAACATCATTTAGTCATGCCTGAACTGAAACTAAAGCCTATTAGGCCTTAATTCGTGGAGCTAGAGGTATAAAATTATTAACAAATATTCTATATTTAATGCAGTTTGTTTGGTGTTAAAAATGGGGACCATATTTGGCCTTAGCCCTAGTATAGGGTCTCCTTCAGAAAATTACTTTAATTTTTATATGACTTAAAACTATGATCTAAAACTATCTACCGAATTTTGTATAATCGGTCCCCATAAAATTAATATTGTTATAATATGAACAATTTTAAGAAATTGGCAGATTGTGTTTTGACAATTGTATAAGACTAATTTTAGATTTTATAATTGCTTCCCCTGACGCTTAAAGTCGGACATGTCCTGGAACACCTTTCCTGTGTTCTTTAATTCTTTTTTTTTTTACAAGAGTCCAATACTTTTCCACTGTCTGAAGTTCTGGACAGTTTTGTGGATTTGCCTATCTTTTGAATATGATGTCAAATCGGTCCAGAAATATGAAGACACTCTGAGCTGTTTAAAGGTAGTTAAACCTGATGTCACAACATATTGGTTTCTTTTGCCAGAACAGCACGTGATTTGTAACAGAAGAAACATCTTGGGGACTTTTGTTTGTTTTTTTCTATTATTCTTAAACAATATCTCGTCAATTCGCCGGATAAAAATCTTGTCACGGAAGTTGTGAAAAGTCTCATTGAACATAAGTTTCATCATCCATCACACAAGTGTATTTTTTTTTATAAAATTTTACCTAAATTTTTTTCACTCGTTTTCTGCTTCTAAGTTATTTACCAAATTGATCAGGACCTTTCTGAATTTTATACGACTTTAATCCAGCTTTAGATTTGGCTCTGTGCACTAACGAATCAGAGCATTTATGAGCTGTTTTTGTAATGAAAGTCTTCGGTGCTCTTCGAAATAGTTGTTCGAATTATTTTGCCTTATCAATATCTGTTAGACTTTTTTCTTTTCGATTCAGGGTTTCTTTCAATACTTAAGTCTTACTTATACTGTTTAATTGCTTTTGAAATAATGTAAAGATATTATTTCTTCTCATACTGTTTTCTAGGAGTCCATTTTTACCGAAATATAAGATAAATTTTAGCTTTAAACAATCTGACAGACGCACATAAGAGTTGTTGTTTAAAGCTAACGTGATCAAAAAAATATAATTTGTTGGTCAGGGATAGGTTTTTTCTGATGCAGTCTTTAGTGTTAAAATAATAATAACGGACTTATCGTACAAGTTGACCTTACATAATATTTCCAAAACATTATGTTGACTGAAATTTTACTCAAGATTTATCCAGGGCGAAAAACTTACTTACTAAACATTCACATGCAGAATATGAGGGTAGAGATAGAGAAGATATTACATATGAAACAACAAAAGCATCCAAAATAGGCAGAAAACCAAAATAAACAAATAATTTAACAAATAAAACAAACCATAAAAAAACAATAATAAAATAGATATAAAAATAAAATAAAACAAAAGCGTGCAAATTATTTTAAATTTTTTTTGAAAGTTGCATTAAACTGCGCTTTATTTACAGAAAAAAAGAAACATTTTAAAGAATAATAATGAATAATTTTTAATCCGACATGACCAAAAAACAATAAAAATAACAATAATAAGTAATTATTTGTATAATGTAAATAAATTAAAAGATAAAAAGTAATTATTTTGGGATTTGTGTATTTGTTACCAATTTTAAATAAGTGTGGGGAGCTAAATGATTTTTAGTAAAATTTGGTTAATTTACCAAAAAAATGTGTTAAAAGGAAATATTTTACAGTTTGTTTAAATAGATATGTATGTATTTAAAGGAAAAACACGTCTCAAAAAGAATTGACCCTTGTATTCATAAATTTGTCAATAGTTTATTTATTGATTATCAAGCATTTTTTCCATTTCAAATTCTAATAACTTTATTGGTCGTTTATGAATACAGGTGTTAATCTTTTAGCTTTTTTGCATTGACGGCCTTTTCCCGAACATATACATAAATAATAATTTAATAATAAATATATACAGGGAAAAACAAAACATATTTAAATATTTTAATAATTAATTGGGGTTATTTGTAGGTCAATTTAGGTTGAGTGTATTGTTTTATAAATAATTGTTAAATATATGTAATATTAAAAATCGTTATAAAAAAGAATTAAATATTAATCGGGATAAGCTTTAGCGTACCTGCATAGAAAATTGGCTTTTTGGTGTGGTGACAGCAACGGGTTTAAATGACGACGATTTGCGCTGCTTGAAAAAAACAGGTAGGATTCATTACATTATTGGTTAATGGGAAACTTTGTTAAATGTATGTTTACTAAAGTGATTAATGTAGAGTTTAACTTTAAATTAATTTAATACTTTTGTGTATTGAATTGTTTTTGTAAGGAAACGTAACGTTAAACTTAAATAAGAAAAAATTAACAAAATTAAATTGAACAAAATGAACTCAAGAAAGATAGATAGATAACATGCAGCATCATTGAGTAGAAAAGTTGTATATAACTATTCTTATACCTGAGCATTCAAGCGCAAGCGTGATGTATTTGTCGTGGCAATGCTGTTCATTGTGCCAATGGAAGTAAGAGATTCACGGGATCCTGTTCGGGATAGGCGAGACTTTTTAGATGATGGTGACAGGGAGACTTTTGCAATTGGCACAAAAACACCAAATTTTGGTTTACATTCGAAATATCTATGGAATAGGAATTTTAGAAGAATAATTCTTAAAATTTATTTGTTCGCATAAAATAGAGACGAACCTAACACCGTCAACGGAGCCATCGTTTTTACCGCTGGCCTCATCCAATTCAATGCCGCACCAATTTCCCGATGCAAATTGTGTTTCACCCAAATAACGAAGAATTCCAGGACGACTGCCAAAGCCAGAGGAAACAATAACACGATCACCCACGGTCAAACCATTTTCTTATGATTTTTATTATAAATATTGATTAATTAAATATAAATTTTAATTCGTAAAAAACAATTTCATTATATGTACGATTCCAATGAATATTATTTGATTTGAAATCATACAAAAAGAAGGATTTTCTTAAAGGATGTAATATTTCTGCAAATATGGATTAAAAAGTTTCATGGACTTTACTATTCCCGAAATATTTAAAATAGATGAAATAAACAATAAAACAATAAACATATTTAGCGAATATCAGAAGGCTATTAGGGCGAAGAGCTTTAACCGAATACTCTACCAGAGGTAATTTTTACATTATATGGGTCACACGGGAGTGGTCGGTAGCGAAGAGCGAATGTTCTACATTTAAAAGAAAGGAAGCTCGAGATAGTTAACCTAACGAACGCAAAACAATTCGACGCAATGAGGGCTGAATTAAAAATATGGTTGGGAGAATTCCATAATCCCTCCTGGAATAAAGAAACGGTGAGTGGAACCACAAGAAACCTATGGAGTGACCCTAACGAGAGCAGGACCAGAAGCGTAACAAGATGAGCAAGTCTGAGGCCAGTATGATGGTACGTATTCTAAGTGGATACACAGGATGTAGAGAGAACTGTGAAACTTTGGAGTACTTTCTTTCCCATTTTGAAGCTTTTCTAGAAAAATATGTTGGAAATGGCATTAATCCTGATATAATTCCCTCATGAATACTGATTGGAAAATTCTTAAAAATTACGTCCAGTGTTAATATTTTATTATTCTATATTTTTGTAATCTAAATTTTGAGTTTAATTTCGATCACGATGGCTAAGCACCCAGGGAACACTATTTAAAATTATAACGGCAGTAAATTGAACAAAATAATTTGTCTTCTGAAAAATATATGAGGTATTCATTCTTGTAAGGATTAAGGTAAAAAATGTCACATATCTAATTGTAGACCAAACATCTTCTTAAGCCATATATTAAATAGAAATATAACCATCTTTTAGAAAAATCCTTATATAAAAAAATTGGATTAACTTACTTCCAGGACTACGTAAGAAAGAACTGCGTATACTGGCTGTGGGTGAAACTGTACGTGAACGATCTGGAGAAAATTTTGATAGCGGTGAAGTAGGTGTTTGAGCTCCTGGCAATGGTGCCAAGGTAAGACGTGTTAAACGGGAGAATATACCCTTTTTTGGTTCACATTGGAAGTAACGTTTTCCGGCAACACAACCATCATTTTTACCTTTTTTGTTTTAAAGTTTTTTTTTTATAACAGATAATGATTAGTTTTTCTTGAACACTTTAAAAATCAATTTAAATTTCTTATGAACTTACCACTAGGTTCATCTAAGACAACACCAGCCCATTCACCGGGTGCAAAATGTGTTTCACCAATATAGGCTATTTGTCCCGGACGTATGCCACCAACCCAAACTCTCTGGCCAATTATAAACTGTTCTGTATCGTGTGTCAAAATAGAGCCATGATCTGAAATTAAATAAAAAGAAAGTTAATTAATTAAATTATATTATAACTGTTTCAGTATTAAATACTACAATACATTAGATCCACTTAGCAACCTATCACCCATAAAATTTAACTCATCACAGTTTTACTTTTTTATTTATTTATTGTTTAAATACAATTTAGTTTAGTTTAGCCATTTTACCAATAGAAATAGAAATTGCATGTTAAATTGTATATTGAAAATTATTATACAAATTATTTGTTTTTATGACGTTATTTTTTAAATACCCGCTTATTTTGTGTTTAAAATTGTACAATGATGTCATTTTTAGGCGACTATTTTTAAATACAATAGGAATACTAGAAATGTAAATTACAAATATTAAATAAATAACTCAAGTTTTCAAATTGAAAACTATTAATTTGACAATTAATGTTGCACATAATTATGCGCAGTATATACAGCACAATACTGCAGGTTTAGGTTAAGAAGGGTTATACACCATAAAATCGGTGCATATCCACTCGGAGACCTTAAGTTCCATTGTGATTCCCTTCAAGGAGTGAGGATTCAGAAACAGAGAAACAAAAGAAAACACACTACAAGTAAAACTAGAGAAGAAGGTAAAAGGATAGATATAATTAACAAGTCAGTACCCAAAGAATAAAGAAATAAGAGAGAAAATCTTCGTCCCCCTATAAAGCCCAGTCGAAGAAGTGACTAATGACCTTAACAAAACCATCGTCGTGGAACCTATTCCCTAGCCATTTCAGTCTGAAACTCCAGGACTGGAAAATCATACGCATCCCCCTGTATAATAGTACGAAAACATTTTCCCTGCACTGTACGTTCACTGAACGACTGTTGTTTGAAGAATTATTAAAAAAATGAATAATTTAATAATAAATTATATCATGGTCAATACACAAATGTTAAAATGCAATAGTGTGTTGTTATTTTTTAAATATTTTTTTTTATTGCAACAAACACTTTTGCAATTTTCATGTGGGGGAGTTTTTCTAGAAAATAATTGAACAACAAAAACAATTGTTATTTATGGAGATACAAGTTTTTTACTTTTTTTTAAATATTTAAAATGCAATTTTGCATTTATATTCATGCAAATTTTGTTTTCATGTTTAAGATAAAATTTAATGATTAAATTGAAATTATAATACAAAAAAATTGTTGAGGAAATGTTAAAGTAATTAAGAATATTTTTTTGTGTAAAAAAAATTAATATGCCTGAATTTTGAATAAAATTTTATTATAAAAAAGTATATTCTGAAACTAATTGTTTCGATTTTGTTTAAAAAATTAAGCATGATTACGAATAAGGACATATAAACTAGTAGGAACATTTCACAGGTGACGATAAAAAGTTATTATAAAATGTCTGGAAGGAATATTCAAGTGGGCGTAATGCCACACCTACGTACAATATAAATATTAAAAGTCGCTTATCTCAGACTCCTTAAATTTTGTATGTACGAACACATATAGTGGGCGTGGCAACTTCCCACTATATAACAGCAGGAATCAATTTTTTCGAAACCACTGTACTATCAACATAAATATTTAAGACAAAAAATAGGCTAGCAATAAGGGGCGTTTCATCTTCCATATGAATTAAAAACAAAAATTAGTTTATCTAAGAACGTTTTAGAGCTAAAATTCCAAAATTTTGCAGGACCAATTTTGACACTTATGTGAACATTTGGGGTCAAAAAATGGGTTGCGTGACACCTCCCATATGAAATCAATTCAAAAATTCGTCATCTGGGAAACTATTACTTTAAACTTTAACACCCATATGAACATTTGAAAACAAAAATGGGCGGACTTTCATTAACCATGCAGTGTCCAGTGAATTAGGATTTCTTAAATGGCTCTCTATAATTGGAAACATGTCTATAAACGATGAAGAATCGGTACAATATCTTTTACATGACTACCATCCTTTAGATCAGAATGGTATTTGGACTCACAGACTCCTAAAAGGTATGTATATATTTGGATGTCCGATAGGCACGATCGAATGTATCTGGATGGTTTCAAGAGCAATGTACATAAGTTATGAAGTTAAGAGAGTTGTTACGCCTAAAATTTCTGGGTTATTCATAATAAAAATTTTGACTTCTTTCGATTATTTCTATAAAGCCTATTTTGCCTCTAATAACTCATAACACATAAAAATCCATTAAATTTCACTATGCGACTAAAATACCTGGGAAGTGATACTGTTTTTCCGAATAGAACAAAAATAAGTTCTTGTTGAAATTTGCCAAACACCCCCAAAATCTTGAGATACGGGTAAAAGCGTGTTTTCATACCTTTATGCACTTATAAGTGAGTACCTTTCACCTTTTACACCTTTCAGAAAAATAGTATAACCTCCCAGGTTACGTGATCCTAAGTTTCTGTTGTCACCACAAGGACGGATATGGCTAAATTTGTAAAAAGTTGGGCTAAACAGCCCCGGAGTCTACTCAATAATATCGCAATTTTAATCGAATCAAAAATGGGTCGCATTTGGGTAAATTTAAATGTTTTAAAGACATGTTGGACAATTAATTTTTTTTCATTAAACAAAGTATACTATAATGGTCTAGTTAAAGAAGGAGTATTTTTCGACATTCCAAACAGATATCTGCATCAGTTAGTAATCATTCAGTTAATATATTTTTTTACGAAAATTACAACACTTTTAATTTAAGTTCTTAATCAAGAATTTTATAATAGTTTCTTTTTAAATTACTATTTCAAAAAACCAAACCATTAAAATTAATATAAAAAATCTACAATTATAATAAAAAAATACAATATTTTTAGTTTTATCCAGTTAAAAGAGTGTCAGGTGTATGTTATTGTTGTTTATTTAACAATATGTTGCAATTTTAAAATATACGCTTTAATATTTTCTTTTTTCTCAAAAATCTTCTAATAAATAAAATGCAAAAATAAAACTCCTACTGTCATTAGATGACACATTAGTGTCATCCCGTATGTAGGTTGCATAAAATTATCTTAAATATTGAAAAGCAATTAGTTGTCAAGTCAATCAAAAATTACGTGATTTTGTTCATATTTGTTTTTTTTTCCAGTTTTCTAAAACTTATTCATTAAACAAATTCAAATTAGGAAGAAATTCATTTAAACTCGTGTGTACATGGAAAAATGTGTGCTTTTCAGCAGTTAAGCACAAAGGAGTATTTTGCTGTGTCGTTCGTTTGTATTTAAGAAACACTGCATTAGATCACTCCATTGAAGTGTATTGTATGTTGATTTTTGGTTGCACATTAACTGTCCAGTTAGCATCTAATAAAAGTCACGTCTTGTCTATTCTAAATAAAAACAAAAAACGAATGAAAAAATGTTTTTTTATGCTAAAAATGATTAATGTTTATGTCAAAGAAATTCTCTATTTATATATTTTTGGTTTCGGAATACAAATGCCAAAAGCAGTTGTGAATTTTGCCGACAATTACTAATAATGTAATGTTTGTATGTTTGTTGTATTATTTACATCGCAACAGAAATGTATAAATAATAAAATATTTTCTCATTGCCTCCATTTAAGGCAAGATCAAGTGACACAGATTTTATGGCAAATAACCAACCGATATAGAAGAGGAAACCACCTGCGCAAGCGCCTTTACATGTAGACGACAAAACAAACGTTTGACAATTGGTAAAAAAAAACAACAATAAGATTTTCTGCAATTTTAAATTTAATAAAAAAGACGTACTTTTTTAAATTTAAGTTAAGATGTGTTAGAAGTCTAAGAAATCTAGTTAAGGTTATGATTAATTAATTAATAAAGTTTATTTCTCTCAAAATATTTTGAAACAAAACGTTAGATTTGAAGAAGATTAACATTAGAAGTCATTACTGTTGTTAGTTCCAATTTTCTTTAAACATTTTCAAAATTTTGCTGCTTACCTGAACTTTGTCTACGGCCTGTGGCCTCTAGATACAAATCGTCTTTAATTTTTTTTTTTTTTTTTTGAATAAAACAAAATTTTAGCAAAAAAAAGAAAATTAATAAAATTAATTTTAAAGCAAAAATCATTAAAAAAAACTTACAAGATTGTCGTCGACTAGAGTCCGAATTCGCAAATGGTGAACTCGACTTAAAAGAATAACGTGATGGTGAAAATCTATCCATTTCGGGTGACAAAGACGAACGTGTAAAACGTTTAACGGTTTCTTGGTATAAATCTGGTTTTGAAATATTTGTTGTGGATTTTGTTTTTTTTAAAAAAGATGAAATTTTCGTTAATTAACACAAAAGGAAACATTCAGTTTTATTTTTGTTAAAAATTATACAAATAATAAGTATTTGTTATTTGTGTGGAATTAAGAATTTAATTGTTGTGTGTGTGTGTGTGTTTATTAAACCCATTGTGCATTTTGTGTTAGTTTTACAAAAACTATTCCAAGGAAAGAGATTCATTTTCTATTAAAATCTATATTATGAAATCACCAAGAAAGTATTTAACTTAAAATAAGTCCAGAGAGGATGAGAAAAAAGTAAAAACAATCATTTTTTTGAGAGTAAAGCAATCGCTAACAGTTAATTTTTTCAGATTTTTGATCAAAATAGCATGGATGTCCAAAGTTCTTCGTGCAAATTTAATGATTCTAGCTCTATTAGTTTCCCAGATATACGAATTTTTGAGCTTAATTCATATGGAAAGTGCCAAGCCTCCCTAATGAAAGTTTTTCTCCCAAGATTTAAGATTCTATCTCCAACAGTTTCCTAGATAAAATAATTTTCGTATTTAATCGATATAGGAGGTATCATGTCCATAAAATCTAGTTCGACAATTTATTACCCAAATGTTTACATAGATGTCAAAGTTGTTCGTGCCAAATTTCAGAATTTTAGATCTCAGTAGTTTCTCAGATATACTATAATTTTTATATTTAATTCATATGGGAGGTGCCAAGACTCACTTATGAATGTTCGCCTATTTTCTATCCCAATTATTCACATGAATGTTAAAGGTCTTTGTGCAAAATGTTAAGATTCTAATTTCAATAGTTTGCCAGATAAAATAATTTTAGAATTTAATTCATATTGGAGGTGCCTCGCCCCCTATTGTTATTCCACCCAAGATATATTAATTTAAGGTTTTCTTTATATGGGAGGTGTCACGCCCACTGTAACTAGGCTGCCCATTTTATCCCCATGTATTCATATTGATGTCAAAGTTGTCCATACCAATATTTATTTTGTATGTGGGCGTGGGACGTCGCTCATGTGAAATTGTGAAGTATAGAGTTACCTATAGTTCCTTCCACACCTACAGGAAAACACGGTTAAAATTTCAGAAAAATCGGTCCTGCCGTTTAGCTGTCCATAAAGTCCAAACAAATAAACATTAATTTTTATATTTGAATATAAATTTCATAAAATTTTAAATCTTTTTCAATTCTTTGCAATAGTTTTATTATTTTGTGGCTTAACAAGTTTCTGCAAAAAATCACTTCAATTGTAGAAACATTTTTACATTTATTGCTAATTATATTCGAAATAAACTTCTTACAAATTTGTTTTATTTCTACGAAATTACAGAAGTGTTAATTATATAAATAACAATTAAATATTTGACCTCCTCTCCGTAATAAAATTCATTTGATGTTCAGCTGACCTCTGCCATCTACTTAATGTTTCTTTTATTTTCAAAATTAAAATACAATTTGTTACGGCTGTGTAATAAAAAAAATGCAGCATTTTAAATTAAAGTTTATACAAACCTAATTAGTAATTATGACATAAAACTTAATAAAAATTACAAAATTATTTAAAACATCTCTAACTCAAATCAAAAAAATAAAGAAGTACCCTCCATACAATCAAAAAGGTAAAAAATAAAAAAGATTTGGAAAGAAATCAAAAAATTGTAAATAAATCATTTAAGAAAAATACAAAAACTGAACAAATTTAACAAAAACGCAAAAAAAACACCCATAAATCAATTAGCCCCCCCTGACATACAAAAAATAAAAATAACACAAATTTTAAACAACAAAATACTTTTAATAAACGTGATCTGTTTCAGACAATATAAATTCGTACGACCAGACCTTAGACCCAAGTAGCTGGCTTAGTTAAATTGAACAAAAAAATAAGAAAAAAAAAGTAAATTTAAGAGGAAACAAATTGGTTTTTAAAAAGTTTAATTTCAAACAAATAATGTTCGCACATTTTGTGTTTCTTTTGTTATTATTATTATGATTATTGTTATTATTATTTTCATTGTATTTTTTGTTATTGTTGTGACCAACACCATTCACTTTAATGTTGATAATTTTTTTAAGGAAATTTTTGCTGTTTGTGGTCAATAAAGAAGCAAATCTCAAATAAAATATGAAAAAGTGTGAGTTTTGGTTTTGGCTACTGAATGATTTGTAGCAGTACCACCATTATGTACGAACTATGTACATATAGAGTATAGTATAACAATATTAAGCGGGCCTAAAGACTGCTACACTGAAAACATATCATTCAGAAATCCAGAAGATACAGATACTTGTAGCTGCAAGATACAATTTGTTTTCCTTTTGGTCTGTCTGCTCAGACACTTGTTATGTAAGTGTGAAATACGATCAGTTGAACGTAGGAAGCAGAAAAAATATGAAAAATGAATTTTAAGCATGAAAGAAAAACATTAAACGGTCAAAGTCGACCATTTTTTGATTTATAGCAATGAGAACTAAACATGGCCTCAGGGCACGAACGGTTCTTGCCAGCTATCTTTTTACAGCCTTTTTTAGCATACAAATTCTTACAAGAGAATTTATAGCAAGAAATTTGTTATTAAATATTTTTCTTAGTTGCAATTTATTAAAAATGTTATATTTTTTATAAAAATTTGAATTTTAGTATTTATTAAAAATGTTATAAAAAATGTAATGTGGCACCAATTAATAGGATATAGGTTCCCAAATAGTGGTCCGCAGACGCTTGGGGCGCGTAAAAATATTCTAGGGAATCAACGTCTAGTCTAGTCTATGGTCTAGTCTATAGTCTATTCTATATGTCGGGGGAGTTTTCCAGATTTTTCCTACCGAGCGCGTCCCCGGGTGGCGGATAGGGGGTGGTGATGGACCATCTGTCCTCTCCCAGCTTTAATTTCACTTAAGCTGAGGGAGGGCAGATTGTCCACCACCTGGGAATATTATATTCCCCGCGGACCAAAAAACTGGAAAAAAAAAAAAAACAAATATGGAAAATAAAAATAAAAAGATAAAAGTTACGGTGCAGGGCCTAAATAACCCAGTACCGGCGGCAAGTGTTGATCTACTCGCGAGTCACGTGTCGTCGTCATCCTGCAATCGTGAGCTGAATACTACTACGGAGGTGGGTACCTTGGCCTCCGTGGCGGACAATGCGTCAAGTGTACAGCATGCCGCTGGCAAAAATATAGGGGTGAAAGAGAAGGATGTACTCGGAGAGAGCTCTAAGCTACCTCAGCCTTTAAATATAGGTGAGGGTTCCGACTCTGAATCCTCAGATGATAATAATAATACCATTATAGCAAATCCCAAAAAGGATGAAGTAGAGCAAATGGTGAAAGAGGTGAGTGATAGCATAGCTAAACTACCTATTACTAAGAAAAGACTTTCTGGAGCACAGAGGAGGAAGTTGAAAAAGATGCTTCAGGAAATCATAGTTAGTCAATCCCACGACACTCCAAAGGAAAAATCGGACTCTCTCACAAGATCTGAGGCAAAAAGGATCAGGTCTCCCGAGGAGTTGACAACTGAGAATAAGCCTAAGAAGAAAAAGAGCTCCCCGTCTTCTAATACACAGTCGAAGCCAAGCCATACTTCTCTCAAAGGAATCTCAAGTGAGAATCCTGCGAGTAAGGGTGACAACGCCAAGCCAGATATTCCGAAGACGAACACGTCGGCGAAATCAACCTCGAAGGTAAGGGAATCTCAAAAGAAGCCCCGAAAAACGAGGAAGGAGAAGCTAGACGGAGGAAAAGGTAAAGAGCCGCCATCTTACGCCAAAGTTGCCAGAAGTAGGCACCGGGACGATCTCTGCTATGCAGTTTACGATGCCGGTAATCCGACAGGCAAAATTCCAATAGACCAACAGAGTAAAATAGAAGACCTGGTCAACAATAAGATAGTGGACCATGCAATAGCTTCAAAGGGCAAACAACCAATAGAGAGCGAGAGCTGCGAGTTCAGCATGGGCGTGATGTTGATGAGGTTGGCATCTCACCAATGTGTTAGCACCCTAAAGAACTTGGTGGAAAGTATCCCTCCTCCCTGGGACGGCGCTAGGCTGGGACTGGCAAAGAAGAGCGAGCTTCCGGTGCTCCTAAAGTCCACTGTCTACATAAAAGGATGGGGCAGTAAACTGGCTAATGAACGTATACTGGAAATTCTTGGAGGTCAAAATGCTGAGCTGGCCGTGGAAAAATGGGATGTCTTTTACAGGAAAGAAGAACCTGAGGGAACTTTATTTGTAATAGGTATCGACCAGAAATCCATGGCTAGTCTTGCCAAGAATAAAGGTAGGGCTTACTTCGCCTCTAAATCTGTCATATTCAAAATTGGGAAGGTGCCGATTGGAAGGGCTGTTACAACAAGCCTCGAAAAGGACACTAAAAAACCTAAGACCACAGTATCCACTACAGATAACGTTGAGGAGTCAAATCCTAAAATCGAGGAATTTACCATTAACTCGCCAGAAGAAAGTGTAGTTACCCTTTCCAAAATTGGGAAGGCGCCGATTGAAAGGGCTGTCAAAACCGGCCCCGACAAGGACACTAAAACACCTAAGACAGTACCCAAAGCATCATTAGCAAGTACTAGCAATGTTGAGGAGTCAAATCCTAAAAGCGAGGAGGAAATCACTCACCCGCCAGAAGACAGAACAGCAATGCTCTCCAGAATTGGGAATGTGTCTATTAAAAATACTGCTATTCCTATGCCTGATAAGGACACCGCAGTGCCATCAACAGTACTCACTGCATTAATAGCCACTTCAGGCTATCCGGAGGAGTCAAATCCAAAGAGCGAGGAGGTGACCACCAACTCGCTGGAAGACAGTCTAATGGATGACCATGATTGAGGTTATCCAAATAAACCTCCATCGGAGCGAGACAGCTACCAACGCTCTGATGGCTAAAATCAACACAGGTAAAATACATATAGCTTTAATCCAGGAACCTTGGACGATTCGCAACAAGGTTTCT